TGTGTGTGTGTGTGTGTGTGTGTGTGTGTGTGTGTGTGTGTGTGTGCGCCTGCCCGCCCGCCCGTCTCCCTGTGGTCTGAAGTGTCTCTCTGTGTGTGTGCAGGAGCTGGGTGTGGGGAACATCGACCGCTGCAGAGGCTTCTCCTCTCACCTCTTCAAGCTGCTCCTCCAGCAGAGGCAGCGCCTGGCCGGGCTGACGGCGCAGTGGCTCCACCTCAGGTCAGTCCGCTGCTCCGCTCTCACAGGCCGTGTATCACTTTCAACCAATTCAACAAATACTTTTATTGGCATTCCTTCCTTTCTAACAAAGAAAAAAAAATGTATGGTTTGTAAAATCATTCAACATTTGTTTCTTTTATAACTCTGAAATAAGGTTTGGTTTTGTGTAAATGAGGTCTATTCACCATACATTTAAAAAAAGTCAATCCTGTGGTAATAAGTAGGAATCAATATGCCTTACAGTAAAAGGTGTAACATATGTACTTATACTAAATTCTTTATAAATAGTCAAACTTGGAGGACAAAAGTTGATAGGAAGTAAGGGTTAAATGTAGGGTAGATAAGAATGGAGAAACCAGCTCGAGGGCGCTAGAGTTTGAAAATACACAACCGGAGAAAATCTGCCCCTTCCTTCGGACTTCCTCACAGAGCCCCTCATCCAACACACTCGAACACGCACATGACCAATGAGGGCACGAGATCAGTTTGTGCACAGATGGAAGGCTGACAGGCAGGTAGGCCATCCAGTTACTTTAGCCGGGCCGGCTCAGATGATTGGTCGTGCTTTTTGCAGCACTACGGCTTCCACAGATGTATATATTTATTGTCAAAGCACTTAAGATATTCATTGCTATCGGGATGTTAAGAGCATTCCATGGAATATGACAAAAAGTATTTCTGAAGTGAATTACCTACCTCACCTTTAAGTGTAAATAAAGGCTGAATCTAGATTTTGGAAGTTGGACAACAGGTTGTTTTTTAAAGAGTAAACACACCTGGTGCAAAAAAAAGTATTTTAAAGAGGAAATGTATACAATTACTTAAAATAATTATACACATGATGTCATTTTGGCATCCGGTTAAAATAGAAAAGCAATATTATTTTAGTATTATTACATTTTAATTATTGATCCCTTTGGGTGCGCTTTCACACCAAGTACTTTGCCGTACTTAGTTCCTAGTACGTAGATTTTTTTTTTATCTGAACGCAAGATTTCAAGAGCTATCGGAAATATACTGGGAAAAGTACTCGGGTGTGAAAGCGCCTATTGGGGAAACTTGTTTGTAATCATCATGGCCTGCACACAGCGAGGTCAGGGTCAGATTCCTCACAGCAGCCATAAACAGTGATGGAAGATCCTTTACTGAAGACTAACCCCTATAGAAGTCCTGAAATAAAAGAGAGAGGAAAAAATGGTCATCAAAATATCAAGATTAAAAGTAATCATTATGCCTGTTCCAAAGTGTTATATTATTCATGTTTAACTTATACAAGTAAGAGCTTTTTTAACGTGCATCCACAGTTTGATAACGTTGTATAATACTAGTTACATTTGTATTATTATATTTAATAGAAGTACAGAGTAACACATTTATCTTTCACAGTATACTTTTGAGTTCTGTTAGTTCTTTTTTTCTATTTTAAGAGGTTTGTTTGTTTATTTTCTATTCTTTTTGTTTCAAATGATTTGCAATGCCTTGTTTTGACATGCTGCTCTAACAAAAACATTTACACAATTTGGGATCAATAAAGTATATCTTCATTTCATCCTATCTTATAAGGAAAATACTCAAAGAGCCTCAGCTGCACTTTAACTTTAGTTTAGATAGAACAATGAATGTGCTGTTATACCTTCGAACCCTTCTTCTCTCACCCCGCTCCCAGGAGGCTGACAGACAGTGTTCAGGGCCTTAAGGCCGACCTGCAGGGCCACAGTGAGGCCCCCGGCTGCACCCTGCCCCCCCAGGCCTCCCTCAGAGAGTGGGTGGGCCGGGGCCAGGCGCTGGCCGCTCAGTGCTCCACCCTCCTGCAGCAGCTGGCCTGGCTGCTGGAGTGCTGCCCCGAGGACCTCCAGCAGAAGGAGGAGGGGGGGGGCGGTAGGCAGCTCACCCTGAGGTGCCCCTCCCCACTGGCCACTCAGCGCCAACCCCCCGGCTGTCTGCTGCGGAGAGGAGACCCCGCCTGGAACCAGCTGAACCAGAGCATGAACCTGATGCTGAAGCAGACTCAGGACCTGAAGGTGGAGCTGGACGGGGTCGCTCAGCAGACCTCTGAGAGACAGCTGCACTCACGGTAACACACAAGCTGTTTACCTGATAGGGAGAGCAGGGGTCCCGCTTTAACATTTCTATCATTTGTCCTGGGTGCCACTAATTGAGACAATGGCCTGGTTTGATTGACAGTTGACGTGGCTTTTAACCAATGGCTGTTTTTAGCAAGAGAGGGCGATCAGCATTAGATGTGTCAGATGTCAATCAAAAGTAAACACACTCATTATGCAGATTTGCCCATTTCAGACTAATATATTTAGTTTGAATTAGTTTTAAATCTTTTGTATACTGCAGGGTAGCTGGTGAATTTACTCCAGGTGGAACTAAAGTCTGATTTAACACTTGATTATATTTCACATCATTCATCTAAATCTATAAAGTAAC